AGGAATTTTCGTTGTTTGCCTTGGGGGCCTGAGGAAGGAGTGAGGCTGAAGGGCAATGGGTCTCCAGGTGGGGGTTCCCAGCGAAACAGAATCAGTTGGTAAATGGTTAGAAATACCTCCGAAACTCTGCAGATGGGGCCCTGGAGTCTGTGTGGTCACAAGCTCTCTGGTGATTTTGAAGCACTTGAATTTGAGGATCACTGCTACAGGAGAAATGCACTAAACCCAACTACCGGCCACAGAGGCTGCTGTAACCCAACAGAAAGCTTCAAGCAGCAGGCAGGGCACTTGGGATGCCCAGTCACGCCCTCTGGCTGACAAGCTCCTAAAATCGCTCTCACACTAGGTGAAAGGGCTCTTCTGTTGTGCAGCTGTTGAGGAATGGCATGTCTAGTGACACTCCTTAGAGAATAGATTTGAGCCTTCCAGGCACCCCATACCCCCATGCGTACCTCACCTCCCTAACTCCCGGGACCAAGGGGAAGCAAGCAGGATAATATGACAAGACTGGGTGCTCGTGTCCCCCATCCTTAGGGTGACTGAGAGAGTGGTTTGAATTGGTTTATCTTCAAGTCTTGCATGCTAGAACATTCTAGGATTCCATGTCGAACGCTCGCCACGTGGTCACATAAAAATACAAAAGAGATCAGTCACCGTAGGAGTTGTCATAGCCTGAAAGAAGCCAGCATTTATTAGGTGTCGATTAGCCAGGCATTGTGTTGGCTACTTTGTACATTTATCTTATAGCCTGGGTGACAGAGTGGCTTGCAGATTTAACCTCAAGGTCATCGGTTCAAACCCACCAGCCACTCCTTGGGAGAAAGGTGAGGCTTTCTGTTGTCAGAAAAATTTACAGCCTGTGAAACCCACAGAGGCAACTCGATCCCGTCCTGTAGGGCGCCTCTGAGTCGGAATTGACGTGACGGCAATGAGGGAAAATCCTTGAACTGAAGAATCCTATAAAGGAGGCACTCGATCTGTTTACACAGAAGGGAAGTGAGGCTCAGAAGCTAAGTCCCCAAAACACACAGCTTTGTGTGTAAAAGAAGGGTTACCACTCATCTGCTGACTCAAAAACTCATACTCTCTCCATTCGACCAGAATCCTCTGGCTCTGTAGTTGAAAAACACCGATATATTATTCCAGCGAAAGGAATCAAGCAGGCAAACTCAGTACTGTAGCCTGCAAAGCTGGCCCTTCTTGAAGGGCGGCCGATAATGTGAAGGCAACCCAAGGAGGCCCCCAAGCAGCCCCATCAGCTCCTACATAAGACCATTAGTTAAAGCCCCACATTTTGAGAGAGCTCATGGGAGGTGTTCCCTGCTCATCTCTTCTTCATTTCAGACTAGGACAGGCTGGTGAGAATAAGACTTTACACTGCCAGCATTGATCACACTCGACTAGTGCCAAGTACTTTGCTCAACCTTTTAAATGTATTATCTCATTGACTTCTCACATCAATCTTGTGAAAGAGGTGCTATTATTATTATTACCCCCATTTTATGATTGAGGAAATCAAGGTCTATAGTGGTTAGGTGGTCAAGGGCAGAGGAGATGTTTGAACCAGACAATCAGATGCCTGATTCCACTCCTGACTTTACCATCTTCTACAGTAAGTTTCTGTACAGTCTTTCTGACCAGATACTATACCACAACTCTCTCTCTCTCTCTCTCTCATACACATTCACTCACTCCTTCCTTTCTTTTTTTCTACCCCCTCCTCCTCTCTAGGAAAGATGCACCCACGGTGAGCCGTATGCTCTCCTCTGAGTCTCACAGTCATGGGCGATGGGAGAGTTACGGGTAATTCATGTTCCTTCATCCAAAAGGAAGACTCCCCTGCCCCGCCATTCCTCTAAGCTGACACCCTCCCCACTTCTTCCCCATCCTGAAAAGAACCAGCCATTCCAGCTACTGCCCAGGGAAATCTCCAGTAGCATTGTCTATACAGTCTCTGTGATTGGGTAGTTTGGGGGACATTAGGCTCGGCGCTCTTTTCCAAAGCCCTGGTTCTTTATCCGATTGCCCCAGAGTCCATCCACCCACCCTGCAAAAGTGCACCTTGAATCTAAAAGGGGCCTCTGGGCCCAACTGGAGGCTCTGCCTATCTGGAAAAAGGCTGCCTAGAGCAGAAGGCATGTGGCCAGTGGGGCCTCATGCAGGTTTAGAAGCCCACTTCACAAGAGCAGCAGGAGAGCCATGGAGCAGCTATGAGGCAGGCTGAGCCCTGTTTGGGAAGATGAGCAAGAGGCCAATCAGGAGAGGGACAGAGATGTAGAGCACAAAAAGCCTGCAGAAGAGGAAGAGAAGAACTTAGGCGAGAGGGCTGGAGCCCCCGCAGCAGCAGCCACAGCGACCGCAAGCCCAGAGGAAGGAATCTGGAGGACAGCACCAAGCCCGCAGCTAGAGGGGAGGGGAGCGAATGTGGGGTTCAGAGAAGCATGTGGTGTGTCCAGCATCTCTGTAGACAAACACGTTGACCTTCCCATGCACACGAACACAAAACACATGCCAGTCCTGACCGGCAGTATCCCTCTGATGCCATCTTACCACCGTCAGACTCATGCGCATCCACCCTGTTCCTGCAGAAAAAGCCCCAGCTTTGCTAACTCCGTCCATGCTGCAGCGCAGTGGTTCCCAAAGCTGGTCTTGCTCCAGGCTCTCTCTCGTCATTGGCCTCTGACCACTCCCTGCTCAGCTCAGGGCAACCCACTTAAGGATGAGCTCTGTCCTCTCTCACCTCCTGCTCTGCTGTCTAGCAACCAGTTCTGGCCTGAGCTTCTTTCTGACAGTGACACTGGGGGTGGGGGGTGAGGGAATCAACTATCCCTACTAGGTCTTGTAATGATTCTCCCGAAATGTTCCAAATGCCCTCTCTTGCCATTGGGCCTTGGGGTATTCCAGGGCTATTCAGGCCTCCTACCCATCCCGACTGCCCATTCTCTCTCTTACCTCTGCCTTTCTCCAGGCCTTCCCCAGTGGGCTTCCTTCTGCCTGGCAGCCAAGCCTTCCTTATTTCTTTTTCCCTCTTGGGGATGAGGGCCCTCCGTGTCTGCCTTGATCCCTTTCTCCGGGAGCTTTTTCCTGCCTGAAGTCCATCCACCCACGACTTGATCTCAAGCTAACATTTCTGAGTCTTCTCTTTCCTCAAGCAGGAACTAGCAGACAAGACTGGGGTGGGTGGTGTAGACCTCCACCTACTCTGATGGAAGATCTTTATTACCTACCACCTGCCCCGTGCTGTGAGCACCTCCCAGCTATAGAATGGTCTTTGGAAAAAGCAATCGGCAATGTCAAGCCTCCACAGGAAAGTCAAGGCAGGAGAGCCCCTCCCACTCCCGCCTGCACAATTCCTGCGCTGGCTGGTTCTCTCCCCTTCACTCTCAGCCCACCAGGCAGGGGCTCTGTCCTTCTGCCCCACATAGCTCTGAGTCATCACACCCTCCTCTTCTTCGCCCTAGTCAGCACGGCGCTCTGATGAGTCACATCATGAAGAAAACTAAGCCCCTCGCCAAAAAACTGCATGACTGAGTAGTTAGGGCTCCAGTCTCTGGCCTTGGAGAGTCTGGATTCAAGGTCCAGAGCTGCTAATTACTAGCTGTCCGATGCAAAGAACGAGCAGGAACAAGCTTCCATTGCATCCTCTGTGGAACAGGGAACTCACTGCCACATCGCAGGATTGTTAGGAGAACCAAGAGGCATCACACAGGTGAGCACATGTATAATGCCTTTTGCCAGCTGCTGTCATGCTGATTCTGGGTCCTACCAACACCATGTGTCCCCGGAGGTCTCAGTGGTTCATCTACTGGAAAATGCACTAAGCAGCAGCTCTTTCTTTGGGGGAAAATTATCATAGTTTTGACCAGGAAGCGAAGCTAAGTCTTGATGATGACATTTCACAGTGAGTTTGAACCACGAGTCCCAGAAACCCACCAGCCTGGCCTGAGGTTTGAGGGATCTGGGTTTCAAGGGATTCGCACAACACGAGGCGAGGTCATTGGCATTTGGGATGTGAGTCACTGGTCTATGAGGGCAGCCCTGGACTTGACAGTGGAAGGCTGTGAAGATTATGGTGGTGACTGTTTCATTACAAGTTGCTCCATGGCATGGTCCTTTTCCTAGAGACTATACCTTCAAATACCATCATCTCTTCACCAGAGCAAAGTTACCCATTCTCATTGGGAGAGGAGCCACTGGGGCCACTCTTCTGGAGATCCTATTGGTTGGGCCCCTGGTGACTGCCAGCCAATGACAATGGACATTGAGGGTCCAGTCGGCCTGGAGCCCAGCTCTCCGTGCGTCAGGCAGGCCTAACAGAGAACACAACGTCCTGGATGGAGTGCCGACTAATAGGTACTGGGACCACAGATCCTACATTCCCTGAGAGTGTCTCCCTTCAGTTTCCCTCAATAATGCTGGGTTGTTAAATATCCCCCAAAATGTCATTTGACTTCTATACCTTTATACCGATTCATATGTGGGAAAGAATAAAGAAAGAAAAACATCATTTGTCAGGCTCTCTGAGCAGAATACCTGTCTAGAAGGTATGGTTGCCAAGCTCCCAAGAATGGTTCAGTAAAAGATTGGGGCGTTATTAAAAAAAAAAAAAAGATTGGGGTGTTATTAATTTTCGAAGTGAATGACGACTACAGCTCCAGCCGGCTTTGTCTATAAGCCTTGCTGTTGGTGAGTCAGACGTTCTCGACCCCCTGCCTCCCTCTTCCAGTAGCTGGGATGTGTTCTCAAGCCATGTGCTGGGGAGGAATAGAAGCCTCCCTGTAACCATTTTAGCTTTTCTCCGGGCTTTGGCTTCCGAGTTGGTGTGTTTCTCTTAGAGGGGGACGGCCTACTGGGAGGCTGACAGCGCCAGACAACATGGACTGCCAACAGCAGAGAGCACTCCCGCACCCTGCCCTGCACCACTCAGCAAGAACCCAGAGAGCAGGCTTCACAAAGGAGGAGGGGAGAGCCATCTCAAAGGCAGGCTGCCGGCTGCTTACCTTCCCATAGATCCACCGTCTGAAAAATGTCTGTGGTCCTGACGCCATAGATCTCCGCAGCTTTGAGGAACTGAGAGATTTGCTCCATCTGCTTAAAAGCCATCTTTGACTCGGAGATCTTTGGGATGGGCTCTTGGCCTGGTGGGTATAAACTGTTAATCAGTTTACACAGGACCTGGAGGGGCAGAAGGGAGACAGAACCAAGGGTTCCCTTTGTAGGTGCAGGGCACTCAGTCCAGGTGAGCGTGTCTCCTATAGGGCACAGCGCACCGGCTTTGGGTGCGGGCAAGTCGTGGGCCCCAGGAAGGCGTGGGCACCTCCGTGCTGCCAGGCTCCCACGCTGAGTCCTAAAAGCCCGGCCAACACCATCCCTAGTGCCGCAGCTCGTGCCCCCGCTGAGAAGCCCCCTTCCCGCTTTGCTCCTTCTCTTCCTTTCCTGGGTGAGGAAAAGACTGTTTACAGATTGAGAGGGAATGACGTGGAGTGGGAGGCGGACATAATTCCAGACTTCGCGTGCAGAGTCGGTGGCTTCGGGGGAGGCGTACTGTCAAATGACGGGGCCTAATAGTATTCTTTGGATGTGCGGCTTCCATCCCTGGGCTGAGTCCCTTCATCCACACACCTATAACCCACGGCCTGAGCAACCAAATAGATCGCGGGGTAGCAGTTATGTAACCGTAAGTCTCAGCCTGCGGGAAATGATGGGCTGGTTTGAATCAACCTAGCCTG